CTTGTAAGTATGACACCAGCCTGGTCTACCTAGAGGGCTCCAGGACAGCCTTGGCTACATATAGACACTTTGTGTCTAAAACAATAACAAAAATCCATCCCAGACCAGGGAACTGTAGCCATACCCCATTTGACAAAGAACAGGTTGCTCCCCTGTGAAGAGGATGTAAACAGTCTTATTTAAGGTCACAATCTCTAACAGGGTTGAGAAGCTGGACCCAGGCCAGGCTGGGCTCTGACTCACCTTCAGGGAAGCGTGGGCATGATGCTACTGTGCAGAGAGGGGGCTGTGTGTGCACACGTGTGTGCCAGGGTTTGAATGAAGACCGGCCAACTGGGACATCTCACCCTAGGGGTCAAAGTCAACAGCAGGACACACTCTTGGAGTTGGGGTGTATCAGCATGTGGGGTTCATCTGGTAACTTCCTGTCAAGGCTGCCTGTCCCCGAGGAGGTCCCCTGTGTCCTAACTCGCTGCAGGAACGCCACCCTCTTCTCGGGTGTTTGAACATTCTCAGGTCTGGGTTCTGTTTCCTCAGCAGACAGGAGCTGGGAGTGGACCCTGTCCCTGGGGACTCTGCCTGTGGACTGTCCTGTTGTGATCCCCTCGTGTTCACACCCCAGTGCCTCCGGGAACACCCTGCATCTCAAATATCCAGTCCCTGGTCCCTGGTTGGTGGGTGCTGTTAGGCTGTGGGGGAGGGTGGTCTGGAGGTGGGGCCTCACGGGAGGGCTTTGGACCATTAGGGAGCATGGCCTCAAAGAAGGCATATGAATCTCCATAGCAACAGAAGAAATGGCTGGAAATGAATATGAGAAAAGACCTGAGAGATGCCTGCAGGGAGAGAATGGAACCTCACTGCAGAGCCCTCGGGAGTGAAGCAATATCAGATTAGATATTGGATTAAAGTTGATCTCACATTGGGCAGAAGTCGTCTGTGAGCCTGGTGGTTGGTGGGATGTCACAAATGGAGTCCAGATTAATGTATGAATTGAGGGCAAGTAGAGTGGTGACTTTTTTGGGGGGGTGGTTTGGTCTGCCTGCCTCTGCCTCCCCACTGGTTGAATTAAAGGCATGCATCCCTGTGCCTGGCCCTGTCCAAGAATTTAACTGCTCCAAATCAAATCAAAACGAAAAAGCCTCTCTCCTCTTGCGCTCTTGGAAGGAAAAGGAAAGAGAAGAGGAACAGGATGACAGCGGCTTTTGTGGGACAGTTTCACTTCCTGCTCGTGAAAGCTCTTGTCACCTTTGACTGTTGCAATCTTATGCCTCTGACAGAAAAAGGTGAACGTGCCCCTGTGGGTACAGTGCGCAATGTCACATTCAAAGCTGAACTCAAGAAACCTACAGAAGCTATAGAGAAATGTCTTCAAGTCCAGCTAACGCTCACCCACAAATGAGCAGAAAGTGACGCCCACAATCATGCCATCCGGACAGCTACCGAAAGAGAATTATGTGGAAGAAATGCATTCTTCTTCCGGCAAAACCAGGTTTCAGTGATGAACCACGGAGCAGGCACGTTCCAGGTCAACGAGTTCATCTCTGCTCCAACTAGAAAGGAATCTACCTTAGTTAACTGTACATCGTCCCAGCTCCACAGCTTCCTCAACTTCCAGCCACGACATCCCAGGTGAACAACATTGTCCATTCTTCTCTCCCACTTAAAGTCATCAACAGACTCCCCCAGCTGGGAACCCTACCAATAAGGACTGGCCTGCCAGGAACCACCCTGGGTGTAATAGCGGCAGGGATGGTGTGGGGGTCACTGGCCACATTCTGACTGGATCTGTGGCCCACTCCACAACGGGAAACTCCAACCTGGTCCTGTACATCTGGCCAAGGACCCATGGCTGGGAGCTCATAGGCCCCAGGGATGAACGTACGGGAGCGATTTTGATGAGGACCTAGTTTCAGGCTGCCCTCTGCATCTCTGCACCCGGGGACTGGTGCAGCACTCTGAGCTCAGCAGAGAGGTCTCTGTGCAGTGGAAGGTGGTTAATACAGGAAGTCACAACTGAAGCAGAGAGCAGTGTGTCTGAGGAGCGCTTGGCCACAAATGGACGTCTCTGTTACACCCCCTCCTCCCGAGGCTCAGGGGACACAGAGGGAGGGGGTGATGGAGAGACTGTAAGGTGGGAGAGGACTGGGGCCAATCAGTGTCCTCTGGACATGGCAGGACAGCTGCCATCCTGAACTCACTCATGCAGCTGTGGTCCCCTGCACAAGATCAAGCCTGTCAACCTTCTAGCCTGGATGGGAGAGGCGCTCACAAACCCCTTCGCCTAGCTGGGAGGCTATGGACAGGTGATGGCCCCTGGTGCACAGTGTCTTGGGGTTTGTATCACTGGGATAAACCAGAGTCACCAAGAGCAACTTGGGGAGGAAAGGGTTTATTTCACTCACAGTTCCCTGTCACTGTTCATCATCAAAAGCAGTCAGGGCAGGAACTCAGACAGGGCAGGATCCTGGAGGCAGGGGCTGATGCAGAGGCCATGGAGGGCAGCTGCTGACCGGCTGGGCCACAGTCACTATCATGGAGACATTTCCTCAACTGAAGTTCCTGCCTCTCAGAGGACTCTAGCTTGTGTCAAGTCGGCATAAAACCCAGGCAGGACAGAGTTAGTTTTCCTTAGGCGTGTGGTCCCTGGCAGGTTGCCCACATCCCAGTGGATGGCCTCACCCACGTGTAAATATGAGAAACCCTCACTGGATTCACTGATTTACTCACTAAAGGGACATGAAGTTGGGAGGGGATTTGGTGGGACCATGAGTTGTGTGGAGGGAAGGTTGAATTTAATAAAAAATATATTGACTATATATTATGAATATTTCAAAATTATTTTACAAAATGCAGAGGAGGATTTTGCATTCCACTGTTTTTTGCCCTCCAAGAGGCACAAGCCACTTCCTGCAGAGCTGGTCAGTTCCTTTCAAGGGGCTCATGAGGAATAGCAGTGTGTCCCCAGCAGCAGTTGGGCATGTGGCCAAGAGCATTAAACCTTGTGACCTGGGCACTCCCTGGCTCAGTCAGGGTGGCCAGGGGCGTTGGCCTCATTGCGCTGAGTGACACATCAGATCTCTTTAAGACACACAGGAGGGTGTGGAAGTGGAGAGATGATTTTAGTGGGCATATTGGCCCACTAAAATCCCAGCATTCAGGGTGCTGAGGCAGGAAGATGGCTGTAAGTTGAAGGCTAACCTGGCCTAGTTTACTATGAGATCCTGTACAATAACAAAAAGGGTCAGTGAGAAGGCTCAGAGGGTACCGGTGTTTGTGCCCAAGCCTGATGGCCTGAGTTTGATCCTGGGACCCACAAGGTGGAAAAAGAGAGAGGCCACGCCTACAAGTTGTCCTCTGACCCCAAAGTCACACACATGAGAATATGTAATATGATATTCTAAAGTATAATTAGCTTGGCCCTCGCCCAGATCTGCCCAGGACCCTCAGCTGGTCTCTTGTCCCATCCTAGGACCTATGTAAGGGCCTTCAGCATCACAGTTCCCTCAGACATGGCCAGTGTCTTAGGGTTTCTATTGTGTGGAGAGACACCACGACCACGGCAACTCTTATAAAGGAAATGTTTAGTTTGGGTGTCTTACTGTTCAGAGGTTCTGTCCATTATCATCATGGTGGGGAGCATGGCAGCGTGCAGGCAGACATGGTGCTGGCTACATCTTCATCAGAAGGCAACAGGAAGTGGACTGTAACTCTGGGCAGTGTGATGAGCATATGAGACCTCAAGGCTCACCTCCACAGTGACACACCACGTCCTCCAACAAGGCCACACCTCCTAATAGGGCCACTCCTTATGAATTTATGGGGATCAGTACATTCAAACTACCAGATCAGGGTGGTTGGCCTGGTAACAAGGGGCCTCTGTTACCAACCAGGCCATGAAGACTGTGTTCACCTAAGGACAGGCTTCTGACCTGAATGATACAGTCACAGCTCATGGCCATGACCATGAGCAGAGCCAATGTCCCAGTTATTTTCTCAGTCTTCCATTCCTTGCTCTCTGCAGTGATTCCAACAGTGAGTCAGGATGTGTGTGTGTGTGTGTGTGTGTGTGTGTGTGTGTGTGTGTGTGTGTGTGTGTATTTGTGTGTGCTTGTTTTTTCTGTTTTATGAGACAGGGTCTGGCTGGCCTCGAACATCTTCATCTTCTGTGTCAGCCTTCCAGGACTCCCACCTGACATGATGAACATCCACTCCTGCTGGGCAGGGAGACTTTGGCATGGAGACAGTCTTGTCCCTGCTGGTGATAAGTCCTGGGAATAATTCAACACTCTACATTATTGGATACAAGCAATTGATTGATAATGCAGGTGGTCACAGCTGGGCAGAGGGCACACCCCTGTAACCTCAGTACTTGAGAGGACAATGTTGCAGATTCCCAAGTTCACGCCTATCCTGGGCAACATAGTGAGATCCCACATTAAGTAAAATGAACCCCTCATCCGTTATGATGGACAGATGGGGTGGGGGCTGGAGGGCAGTGAAACTGTTGTTGATGATGCCTTGGATGATGGCCACATGGGTGTGTACCTGAGAACCCAGGGACAGTGAGACCTGAAGACTGAACTTCAAGCTAGCCATGGCCTGGGCAGACAGCTCATTATCATGTCCCGGTGTGGACCAGTCACCTCTCACACACCCACCACAGCAGAGGTGAATCTGGATGCCAGCCATCTTCTGGATGCTTCTCACTTGCTCTTTCAGCTTTAGTGACATGTGTGCATTAGAGTTAAATGTCTGAGCGACTAAAGAGCATTTTTCTTCAGTAACAATAGAAGACCAAGAAGAAAGAAAACAGACCAATATGTTTAAAATGCTTCCTGCAGGATGAGGGCTAGAGAATCCATAATAACTGCCCTGCTGGTAAACACCAGAGTGTCATGGAGACCAGGCGCCATAAACATCAGAGGCAGAGGCCAGATTGAATAGCCCCGCCCTTCCTGGGAAACAGAAACTAGCAGTGGCTATAAGATGAGGTTTGCTCCAGAGGCAGCTGCAGTCAGCAAGCACTCCTGGCCTGAGGATGGCACAGAAACTCAGCAGCACCCCGGCCAGGGAGCTGGACAAGTTCATAGAGGACAACCTCCTTCCCGACACCAGATTCCGAATAGAGGTCAAAGAGGCCATCGACATCATATGTACATTCCTGAAGGAGAGATGCTTCTGAGATGCCAGCCATGATGTGAGGGTCTCCAAGGTGGTGAAGGTGAGCCCCCCTCAGCCTGAGCTGACTGGATGGGGAGGGAGGGGACCCTCAGGAGCCAGGCTGCAGCCCTGAGTGGCGGTGGGTTTCCTACCTTCTCTGTGTCCCTGTATTCTCATGGGCACCCAGCTGTGGCACAGGGTAGAGAACAGACAGCGCCCCCACCTGCTGGATGACTGGACTGATGGAACCTCACTGTCCAGGTTTCCCATCTGTGAAATGGGACAACATGACAACAGTACCTCACTCCCAGTCACTGTGACGGCCACTGAAATGTCAGTTTGTAACCCAGCTCCACTCTGTGGGGTGTGCATTGTGTTAGTGAGTGTGCGCAGCATTTTATTTAGGGAGGATCTCCTCAGTATCATTATTTTCTCAAAATCTTTCTCCTTTTGAATTCAATTCTCTAAATTTATGCTTTTGTTCTGTGTCTTTTTAATGCTGTTACAGGTATCTTCATGAAAGCAAGTGGTATACTTTGAGTGTATTTCTCTTAACATTCTTCCAACAAGGGGGATCTTGGCTATAGTTTCCTAAATCTGTGTTAATTTACTCACAGTCTCCTCTCACCCACTACCATCCCATCCTTTACCCCCAACACTGACGTCCCCCGGAGAGTCCCTCTCTGATTGCACATCACGTGTGTGCAGCTAGATCTAGAATCCACATGAGAGAAAATGTGCTGTTTGTCTCTCCCATTACCCTCCCTTCATCCTCACTTCCTTTAGACCCCCTCCCTTAAGTCCTCTTAGTCCCCCATCTATCATCTCTCTCTCTATCTCTGTCACACACACACACACAGACACACAGACACACACATACACACACACACACACACACACACACACACACACACAGACTCACATATTTAAATCTAGACCCCACAGACAAACACTGATGTTCATCATTCTGAGTCTGGCTTACTTCTATTACCTCGAGGAGATCCAGAACCATCTATTTTCCTACATTGATCCTGATTTCACTCTTCAGGGCTGACTAGTATTCCACTTTGTATGTGCCGGCTTTCTCTATCCATCCAATGCCCTGGGTGGTGGCCCCCTCGGCTGCTGAGGGTCTGTCTGGACTGCTGGGCAAGGTTCTGCCTGTCACTTGTCATTCTCATCGTTGTCTTTCAGGGCGGCTCCTCGGGCAAAGGAACTGCTCTCAAGGGCAGGTCGGACGCCGACCTGGTGGTGTTCCTTACCAAACTCACCAGCTTTGAGGATCAGTTAAACCGACGGGGAGAGTTCATCCAGGAAATTAAGGAACAGCTGTATGAGTTGCAGCGTAAGAGACCTACAGGAGTGAGGTTTGAGATCCAGAGTTCACCGTGGCCCAACCCCCGGGTACTCAGCTTCAAACTGAGCTCCCCCCAGCTCCAGCAGGAGGTGGAGTTTGATGTGCTGCCGGCCTATGATGTCCTGGGTAAGCCAGTCAGAGCCTCAGCCGGCCCTTCAGAGTGCCTTCTTCCTCTCCTCTGTTTCTGTGGGGGCAGGGGGGGCGCAGGGGGTTCACATGTGTGCAGACCTATGCACATGTTTGCAGGTGTGGGTAGAGACCAGACGCCAGTCCTGGATGTCGGTTACTTAGGAACAGACTGCTTTGGTTGAGAGGTTGACCTGGAATTTGCTGGCCCACCTTCATGGCTCTTGCAGCATGCAGCTGGGGTCAGGTGGGGTGTGTGCTCTGACGGAGCTGCACCCACAACCTCGGGCAACCTGGAGCCTCAGCGTGTTTATCAGGGACAGCACAGGTCGGGGAGGGGTTGCCTAGTCTCATAGGAGGTGTCTGTAGGAGAGGACTCCCAGGCCGGAAACAAATAAACTCAGATACATTCAGGACTTCACTCAGGCTTCCTCTACTGTCTTGTCTTCCTCTACAAGACAGCCTGGTTGGTTTGTTGGTTTGTTTGACTGTTTGGATATAGGTTGACCTTTGACCTGGAGCTGGCTGATCCGCCTATCAGATCAGAGAGTGAGCCTGAGGGATCCTCCTGTCTCCACCTCCCCAGCACTGGGATTTAGGTGTGGACCCCCACCCCCACCTGCAGCTTTTTATGTGGGTGCTGGGAATCTGCTTTTGGGTCCTTATACTAAGCCATCAAGGCCTTTAATGGAGCCGTCTCCCCAACCCCAGGGGCGTCCTACAGAACACCTGCATGGTGATCAGCTCTTCTTGTGGCTGAGTGCGGAAATTCTGTGTCTCTAAAACTGTGACAGAGATGTAGCTAAAAATTAACATCTGTTGCATCTTCTATGAAAGAGAAAGAAACCTCAGACCTGTGCTGAGGCGTGTGTGTGTGTGTGTGTGTGTGTGTGTGTGTGTGTGTGTGTGTGTGTGTGTGTGTGTACTCCAAAATTACAAACTGCCCAACTCTACCCAAAGACAACCAGGAACACCCCTGAAGGAACAGTGGGGTCTTGGGGAGCTTAGAGAACAGTTGAGGTTTTACATCTAGGGGGCACAGCACCCCCTGCTGGCCACTGTGAGAACTGCTGCTATTAACTTAGAGACAAGGCCACTGCCCTTGGCTTAGGAGAGCCATGGACACAGTGCAGAGTCTCAGGCAGCAGGGAATGAGAGGCCAGCCTGGGAGCAGGAGCAGGGCAGCATGCTGTGGGAAGCTGTAGGGGCTTAGAGCCCTGCTGAGTGGAGGGGCCAGAGGGGGTGACCCAGAAATGAGCTGGGAGGGCGGCTCCCCAGAAGCCTGTCTTGGTCACGGACTTCCCCAGCCTCAGCAGCTCTTCAGTAAGGAGTGTTGCCACCACAGATGGACCGCCTTGGATGTGGCTATGTGAGCTACAGCCCAAGAGAGGACCCCAGCCACGACTCGATCCAAGTTGACTTAGCCCATGGTCTCTACTATGTGGTGGAACTTGAAGTTGAAAATAAACGTTTGAGACCCTCCTGGTTCACTGAGTGACTGGGCATGTCCCCAGATCCATCAGTAGGTGATTTTGCCCTGTGCCAGCATCAAAACCTGATGGTATGGCCTGCTGCAGCCATGGCCACACCTGTGTATACCTAAGGCACATCCTGCTGCCTGTCTAGTCTACTCAAATGTGCATTGCACCCATACACAGACACACACCCACATGTATTCCCTAATCTGCTGCCTACCACTCTAGAAGTTCAGGACACACACACACACACACACACACACACACACACACCCTACTGCCCTCAGGACCTGGCCTAACAAACCACATGATATTAAGTTAGGCATTACAGAAAATCATGCACTGAAAACACACAGTGGATGGGAGGCAGTCAGTGGATAAGGGCGATTGCTGAACAAGCATGAGGACCTGAGTTCAAATCCCCAACACCCACCTGAACAGAAAGGGCCACGCATTGGCCTCTAACCCAGGCTGTACATGGCCAGAGACAGGAGAATCTCTGTGGCCTGCTAGATGCCAGCCAAGCTCCTCATTCACAGAGAGACCCTGCCTCAAATAGAGAAGGATACAAACTATAAAGGGAGACACCCAAGTCCTCCTCTGGGCTCTGAACTTATGTATCTACCCCCTCACAAATACACACAATACACAGTGCAGAGACTCTGTAAACACAAGAAACATGATGTATAAATGCAGCAGACTACTCCAAGGTAAACTCTGACATGAACAGGAGTGTATACACACATGACAAGCACCATGCGGAAGACACTGGACACCAGAGCATGGTTGGCCATCATTAGATGACCCTGCAGCTCTCTCGTGTGTGACCTCAGTGTGCTGCTTCCTCCCACGTCTGTCTCAGGCTTGTGAGGAAGGCACTGTACTAGGACTGGTTAGTGCAGGACTTTCCAGAGCTACATGGTGTTTGCAGTCCTGAGGGGTGATGGGCACATGGCTGTATGGGAAGTGATGCTTGCTGTGGTAAAACTCTGCTCTATTCCCTGAACCCCACAGCCTGTGAGCTTGTCACCCAGATAGACCAAAGACCCTCAGAGAAGGGCTGGAGTGTTAACTGAGAGAAGCCTCCTTTACAGGTCATGTAGGCATCTACGGCAAACCTGACCCTGAAATCTACAGAAGGCTCATCAGAGAGTGCACCTATAAGAATCTGGAGGGCGAGTTCTCCACCTGCTTCACAGAGCTCCAGAGAAACTTCCTAAAGCATCGTCCAACCAAGCTGAAGAGTCTCATCCGCCTGGTCAAGCACTGGTACCAGCTGGTATGGCATCTGGCCCGTCTGCCATGAGCCCCGTCTATACAGGGGGTGGAGAATGGAAGGGGTGATGAAGAGGAGGAAAGATGAGGAGCAAAGGAGAAGGAAAGGAGTGGTGGGGAGGGAGGAGAGAGAATCCAGAGGTGATGGGAGGTCAAGGGAGGGAGAAGGAGGGGGAGAGGGGACCTGGGAGGAAGGACTTTCCATGCTTGTTATGAGTGATTTCTTCTAGTCCAGTTTCCAGTCAACTAACTCACTCTTCAGCTGCATCTAACTCATTGTTAATGTGTCATTTTGATCTTAGGATTTCTCTTTCTCTTTCCTTCTTCTGTTATTTTGAGACAGGATCTCACAATGCAGCTCTGGGTGTTCTGAAACTCACTATGTAGACCAGGCTGGCCTTGAACTCACAGATCTGCCTACCTCTGCCTCCTAATGCTGGGATAAAAGGTGTGCACCATTATACCCAATTTCATCTGTAGATCTCTAGTTTTTTTTTTTTTTAACATGCACTGCTACTTACTATGGCTTTGATTTTCCTGATGTATCAAGCTATGGTTGCTTTAAACATCCATCGTGCAATATTTCTCGAGTTTTGATGTGTGCATGAGATATATATGGTGTGGGTATATGTATACCTGTTCACGGGAGCACATCCTATGTGTATGTGTGTATGTACATAAGCATGCTGAGACCAGAGAGTGATGCCAGGTGCTCAGTCACTCTCCACCTTTTATATCCAGGCAGGGTCTCACACTTGAACCCACAGTGTGCTGAATCAGCAGCTCTGGACCTTCATCAGGTCCTGGAGACCCCCATTTCCATCTACTTAGGCTGGGATAATGAGTCAGCTCCCTCACAAGCCTGACATTCATGTGCATGGTGGGGATCTGAACTCTAGTTATTACCCTTGCAAGACAACACTGAGTTGTCTCCTTAGGCTCTTCCTAGTTATTTGATATCCTGTGATAAAACCTTCAATAGTGAGCATCATTACTATCCTGCCCCACCCTCACTCCCTGGCTGTCAATCACTGTGCCATGATTCCTCCTGTGCCTGCTGGTAAATGCTCAGTCTTTGTGGACCACACAGTCTCCATCTCAACTGTTCTGCCCTTGGCTATAGCACAGGAGGGTCCATACATGAAAGGGTGTGGCTGTGTGCCAATAGACCTCTAATGACAACATCAGATGGCCGCTGTATTGGCCCTGTGAGATGTGGTCCCCACAATAGCTGCCAGCCTGTTTTTCTCATTGCCTTTTTCTTCTCAGTGTAAGGAGAAGCTGGGGAAGCCGCTGCCCGCCCAGTATGCTCTGGAGCTGCTCACAGTCTATGCCTGGGAATGTGGGAGTGGAGCCCTTGAGTTCAAAACAGCCCAGGGCTTCCAGACAGTCTTGGAACTGGTCATCAACTATAGGGAGCTTCAAATCTACTGGACAGAGTATTATGACTTTGAAGACCAATACATCTCCAACTACCTGCACAGACAGCTCAGAAGAGCCAGGTAGCCTGTCCCCATGTGGCTCAGCTCCCCACAGGGAGGACCCAGATGGAAATGGGGAGGAACTTCGAATCAATGGAGCATCTCCTGTCCCATCACTTTGTTGGGCCCTGTCTGATGGCCCCTTATTGACATGAAAACCACCAGCCCTGGGAGGCAGGCTGGGCTCTCCTGTCTGCAGATGAGGAGACCAAGGCTGTGACCTTGTCCAGACCCAAACAGCAGAGGGAGGGGGGTTACATGAAGGAAGAACTGAGATGCTCCAGTTGTAAGAGCATCATAAGGGCTCATAAGGGCTGTGAAGCATAGACCAGGGCTGGATTAATTAACTCTGAACAATATAATAGAATTGTCACCCCAGGTAAGAGTCTGTCTTGATCCTGTGTTGTCTTCTGCTGGTTCCACTCTCCCCATCTCACAGATCAGAGAGACTGAGGAACCTGCCCCAGGACACACAGCTGATAAAGGGTAGACGATTGGAACTCAGGCCTTCCTGGTCATGGGCAAGGAACCCTCCAGGCTTGCTCTATGCATGGGGAAGGGTTCAGGACAAACTTTGGATGGGGTGCTCTGCTGGGCTCCTCCACTGCCCCTGTGCAGTGGTTCCTAGGACACTGGCCAGATGGCCAATTCCCTCTCTGAATGTTGCTCTGCAGGCCTGTGATCCTGGACCCTGCTGACCCAACAGGGAACGTGGCTGGTGGGAACCCAGAAGCCTGGCGGCGACTGGCAGGAGAGGCTCTGGCCTGGCTGGATTACCCATGCTTTAGAAATTGGGATGGTTCCCGAGTGCGCTCCTGGGAAGTGCCGGTGAGAACCTGTCATCATCCTGTCTCTGCACACAGCTTTGGTCACTCCATCTATTGGGAGAATATTCAAACAAGCATGCAGTCTTCCCAAAGGTGCCCAGGCTTGTAGGTTGTCCTGCCACACTGCATGCTTCTCAGTCACTCTGTCCTCAGAGATTGTCACTTCACCCCTGCATAGTTCCTGTCACTCTGTGTCCTAGGGAATGACAGCCTCTGCGCTGAGTGTGTGCTTCGTGCTCAGGCTCCGTCTTCTGCTCTTTATCAAATGATAACTCACTGGATCCTCACACATGCTCATCCTGTGTTCTCTATCATACAGTAACTCACTGGATCCTCACACATGCTCATCCTGTGTCCTTTATCATACAATAACTCACTGGGTCCTCACACATGCTCATCCTGTGTCCTTTATCATACAGTAACTCACTGGATCCTCACACATGCTCATCCTGTGTCCTTTATCATACAGTAACTCACTGGATTCTCACACATGCTCATCCTGTGTTCTTTATCATACAGTAACTCACTGGATCCTCACACATGCTCATCCTGTGTTCTTTATCATACAGTAACTCACT